TATATATATATACATATATATATATATATATATGGATTGTGAAGAGTTGTACGAGCCCCCAATAAAATGATTTTTTAAAAAGTTGTATAAGCCTCCAATAAAATGATTTAAACAAACAAAAACATTTTATGCGGAATGAATTAAAGGTAGGAATTGCTCTATAAATGCAATGTTAGGTTTATTAATTCGTGGGTACATGGAATAAACCAACTGGAACTAGGGCATCTAAGAGAGGGTGGGGAGGGGCTTTTATGGGATTTGTGCTATAAGCATTGCCATTCAAGGAGCACAAGTATTATATGTGGTGGGCTTTGAATACCTTTTCTCCAAACCGGACTTCTCTTCCAAAACACAGAATTCCCAAGCAGGACGTTATACTCAACTTCAGGGAATATCCCATCTCCTTGCAGTTGCTTCACTTTCCCAAGGTGGTAAACTCTGCAGAGGAGCAGCTCCTTTATTAACTTTGTCTTTTCCAAAACAACGCACTGATAGGTGCTTAAGGCATTTGTTGGACAAGGATCTTCTATAGAAGACTGGACGACATAACAGACATACCAATGACCAAAAGTTGTTACTGCCAAAGTGAAAATTAAAGCCCTTACTTCCTTTTACTGGGAAAAACGCAGTTAGTCTCTTGTGTTTTCCTAAATAAAATGTAAAGCGTAATTAGCGCGCAGCGGAAAGCCTCAAAGAATATGTGCAAGGCTGGGTGGAACCATAAGTAACCTTATTTGGGTTACACTCTCACCACGTTAGGTTCAGCTGCCACGACGGTTCGAGCCCAAGGCTCTGACCTCAAAAAGGCGCGCGAGGGGGACCCGTGCAGCCTCTAGGGCGGGCTGCAGCCTGAATCCTGGCTCCCCAAGGGGCTGCGGCCAGTCCGGCTTCTGGTCCGAGAGATGCAGATGAAGTGGTGTGAAGGGTTGGGCTTTTTTTTTGTTCCTCCAAATTAAACGAACAAAAAAAAAAGTACAACAATCCAAACCCAACTGCTATTGCGCGTCCTGTAAACTCTCGGGGACGTTTTCCCCGCGTGGGTCCGCCGGGGACGCGCCGAGCTCGCCCCGCCTCCCGGGAGGCGCGCGGCCAGCCGGCTCCGGCTTCGCAGGATCGCGCGGGCTCTCTGGGCGGGGCAGCGGGAGCCAGGCCCGCCCACCTTCGGCGGAAGGAGGGTCGCAGGGGCGGGGCCGGGAGAGGCGGGCCGCGGCCGAAGAACGCACCGGAAGGACTTCGCGACACCCCGCCCAGCCCTTCACTTGGGAGAGCGCGGCGGGAGAGGCAGAACAAAGGCGAGCCGTGGGGCCGGGGTGCCCGGGAGGAGGGCGGGAGCGGAGGAGGGCGACGAGTGGGCGTTTCGTTGCTGGGTTCGGCGCTCGCCGGGCGTTTCCCGCGGCTGTTAGACCAGCAGCCGTTCCTCCGGAGGTCAGTACCTGTGATTAACAC